GTAGGAGCGGCCAATGAGGCGGCTCGCCACTTCACCTCTGCCCGCCGACCCCGCCGTGTGTGGCTGATGTCATGGGGCCGCACTGCTCGGCAGCGCAGCCGAGGCTGAAGCAGGACGCGGCGAGACGGTACTGAGAGCGGGCAAGAGAGAGAGAGAGACAGACAGAAAGGAGAGAGACAGCCAACCACGCCAGCTCCCTCCCAAACACACACACACAAAGAGAGAGAGTGTCAGTCAGGCGGAGCTAGACTCTGCTACCGCCCGGGGAAGGGAGGGAGGGGAAGCTCAGGATATATAATCTATACATTATACAGAGAGCCCCCCTCCTCAGCCAGCTCGGCAAACCGGCTCCGGGTGCCCACTCCACACACAGCCTTTCGCTGTGCTCACTGCCACCCCCTCCCACTGGGATCACAGGACAAAGGCAGTGGGAGGGGACCCGCGGCCCCAGGAGCCGGCCACTGCCCCGGGTTCGGGCTCCCTCCCAGCCAGGGAATCTGCTGAGAGCTGCTTCGATCCTATCCCAGCTTTTCCCTCTCTTGTCTCTTTCCCTTCCCCCCCTTCTCCTCCTCCTCCCCCCCTCCCCCCCCCCCCCACTCCCCTCCCTCCCTCCCTATACCCTCCCCTCCCGTTTGCTTTTGTCTGATTCCTTCCTGCTTCTCTCGGGCTCAGCCTCTCTTCTCTCTCTCTCTTTCCCTCTCTCTCTCCCCTTTCATAAAAAGATGCCGAGCTCGCTCTTCACCGACATGGAGCGGAACTCCGGCGGCAGCAGCAACAATAACAACGGAGGAGGAGGGGAGACGCTGGATGACCAGAGAGCGCTGCAGATCGCCCTGGATCAGCTCTCGCTGCTCGGTTTGGACAACGACGAGAACTCCATTTACGATAACGAGCCGAGGAAGAAGAGCGTCAACATGACCGAGTGCGTGCCTGTGCCGAGCTCGGAGCATGTAGCAGAGATCGTGGGCAGACAAGGTAAAGAACAGCCACGGCATGTGTTGGCCCTGCAAACCCGTCCCTGGGTTTAAAATGTTGCAATTTGGCGGTGACGTGAGCTGAAAGGATACAGTGTATCTTTATGCTGTGTCTGACTATCTCTGGAGGCTTCTGATACATTGTATCTGTATCTATCTTTGTTCTGCAACAATGTATCTTTTCATGTGTTGTATCTTCATTGCATCCTGTGCTATATCTCCTGAAACTGTGCATCATTTCCCATTGCCTTCACTCTGTCTATATCAATACTGTGCCCAGTATCTTTTACACCGCGCATCCTTATAGCACAAAGTGCATGTGTCTCTTTTATTCGGGAGCTGCTCTGAGCTGCTGGTTATTCATTAATCATTTTTAGTCAGCAATCGCAAAAATTCAGGACGTTAAACAAGAGACAGATTGCAGAGAGAAATGCTGCTAGTGGAAATCTTCCACGCTGGGTGTTTTCACTGTTGCTTTGTTCTCTCTCTCCTTGAGTAATGGTGCTGTAAGTGATGACAAAGGAAAGTGCAGACATGCGAGAGGGGCGCATTGTGCAAGGCGGAGAAATGCGTCAGGTCGCCTTGTTTGGGGGGGGTGGTGAGTGGGGGTAGGTCTGATTTTCATGCTGTTTCTATCTCGGCGAGACGTTTTTTGATGTTTGTGACTAAACGATGGGGTTTGTTTTTTTTTCCCCTCCCCGTGTGTGTGTGTCTCTCTCTCTCTCGCTGTAAAAGGTTGCAAAATCAAAGCTTTGCGGGCAAAGACCAACACCTACATCAAAACCCCGGTGCGTGGGGAGGAGCCTGTCTTCGTTGTGACCGGTCGCAAGGAGGATGTGGCCATGGCCAGGCGGGAGATCATCTCGGCAGCCGAGCATTTCTCCATGATCCGAGCTTCCCGCAACAAGAACACGGCGCTGAACGGAGCGGCGCCAGGCCCCCCGAATCTGCCGGGTCAGACCACCATCCAGGTGCGGGTCCCTTACCGGGTAGTGGGCCTGGTGGTGGGGCCTAAAGGAGCGACCATCAAACGCATCCAGCAGCAGACCCACACTTACATCGTCACCCCGAGCCGGGACAAGGAGCCGGTCTTCGAGGTGACGGGGATGCCCGAGAACGTGGACCGGGCGCGGGAGGAGATCGAGGCTCACATCGCCATGAGAACCGGCGGCCTGATCGAACTCACCGACGACAACGATTTCCACGCGAACGGTACCGACGTAGGTTTCGAGCTGGGCGGCCCGGGCAGCCTGTGGAACAAGCCGACCCCCGGCCGTAAACCGTTCTCCACTTACCGGAACGACAGCTCGAGTTCGCTAGGCAGCGCATCCACCGACTCTTACTTCAGCCCGGCCGGCCGCTTGGCCGACTACAGCCCGCCCGCTCACTTCCCCGCCAACGGAGGCGGCGGCAGCAGCTTCGTGTACGGTGGGGAACCTCTCCCCGCCTCCCTGACCGGAGAAACTGAGCGGGACTTGGGTTTCGAGTCTCCCGGTTTCGACCCGGCCCCTGCCCCCCCGGCCATCATCTGGTCGCAGTTCGAGCGCTCCAACCCGCCCGGCGCTTCCACTAACGGCGTGTCTTCGGCGCAGCAGCAACGGCGGGCCAGCAGCGTCGGTTCGGCGGGAGCTCCGCCGCCCCGGCTCTCACCACCTCCTCCCCCACCCCCGCCGCCTCCTCCTCCCCCTCCTCCGCCGCTGGGCCTGAACGGAGCCGCCGCTGGGGGTGAGCACCATCCGCTGGCCCGGCGGGTACGCAGTGACCCCCTGAGCGGGGTGCCCTCAACTATCGGCCTGGTCCCTTTCGCCAACGGCGGACCCGCCACTGCTCTGCTGCCCGGGGGCAGTCACCTCGCCGGCGGCATCCCAGCCGAGCCCAGCGGCTCCTGCTCATCGTCCTCGTCCTCCTCTTCCTCGTCCTCCTCATCGTCCTCCTCCAGTATGAGGCGGAAAGGCAGCCGGGACTGTCTGATGTGTCTGGAGAGCGAGGTGATCGCTGCCCTGGTCCCCTGTGGCCACAACCTTTTCTGTATGGAGTGTGCGAACAGAATCTGCGAGAAGACTGAGCCTGAGTGTCCAGTCTGCCGCAAAGCTGTAACTCAGGCGATTCGTATATTTTCTTAAAAAAAACACCAGGCAGGAGCAAAATCCTTTGTAATACTGCATCACTGAGATCCAGAAAAGAGTTAGCAAAAAAAAACTACATATCGCGTATATTATGTGAAAATCCGCAGGTTTTAACAAAAAAAGAGAATTCTAAAAAAAAGAGAATTGCATTACAGATTGAAGTATTTTATTCTTTTTTGACTTGAAAAATTATATTTCGTATGGCAGATGTTTACAAGTATTTTAATTTAATTTCAGTGAGACTTTTTTGTAGCTGGGTTAAATCTTTTTATTTTCGAATGGCCTTAAACCAGGGCGCCACGAACACTGTATGGTTTTGTTAGTATCTCACACAATACTGTTGCCTGGCTCTTGAGACGCAACACCAATGTGTAGACACGAGCAGTATTCAGGAGGGAAGGCGGTTTCAGCAGAAACAGAAGTGGACAAAAAAAAGACTTCTTTAAAAAAAAAACCCGCTTCACCCAACATATTTTCTAGTCAATGATATAAAACATATTTTATTCTATATTATTACGAAAATGAAATTATAAAAGTAGCAAAAATCAATGAAAGGAAACAGTTAAGCTTTCTAACATTTGTACAAGTAGAAACCAGTGAAAAATTACAAATTCTGTTGCACCACTATAGTTTTTAGTATTTCTATTTTAATACATTTGTTTACCACTTGTTTATGTATATGTAGGTGAAGTTACTTGATCGTAAATGTACTTTATTGAGCAAAGTTTAAAGACGAAATATATTTTATTTTATGATAAAGGGCCTTTAACCTCATGGTCAAATACTAATATTATATTTGCTGAGACGAGAATTGAAATTGTATCAAGAGTTTTATTTTTCTGACATTTAAAGTTCTACATAATAAAGGTAAAACTTAAGTAATGGTGCTACTTCATGTTTTTTTTAAGTATTTCTATATAAATAAAATTGGTACATGGAATCAACAATTCTTGAAGCATCTGTTGGTCTTAATATACTGCACACACTTAGACACGCTGCAGGCTGCTAAAATGGTATTGAAAACCTGTAAGGAAAGCTCTAAACTTCTTAACTGAAAAATATGTGAATGGGTTAATGAGATCACTGGCAGCAGCCAATATTTACATCAGAACAGAGTACCTGGTTCTACTATGCATGCACACTACGGATGCTTAGATCTGCTTAGAATCTGTATTAATAGTCATGCTTAGATAACTGTGAATAAAACTCTGTACTCCAGCTGCATTAATAGTTGCTGCACGTGCTGTTTGGCTTGTAGTTCAGACTGTTGTTAATTTACAATAAATACAAACTATTTTTAAAGTATTGTGGCTTTTTCAGAATATTGGGTAGGAGAACTGCAATTAACTGTTTAATGTCTATTGCCAACTTCTTTTTAAATTGGGTGCACCCTAGCTAATTCTGGTACTGGGTGCAGTTTTGAAATGGCTTTTAGTTTTTGGGTGCTCTGGTCTCACACAGACGTACACTCCAGCTGTCGTGACAATAATGAACCAGAGCAGACTTGGCCTTATGTGGCTCATGATTTAATGAATTGGAAACGTTTCCTTTTCACTAGCCTTGCATGACCTGTCTTCTGTTACAGTGAATTTGCTGCTTGGACCCTATCCAGGGGATATGAGGCCGCAGCTGCTTTCAAAAAGTTAACTGTTATTAGGTGTGGTCTAAGCTTGCATTCAGAGGGGAAAAAGGCCCTGAAACAGTAAAGCAGATGTTCTGTGGGGAGATCTTTTCCTTAAAATGAAACTTTTCTTCCCAGTTAATTAGACTGGCTGGGACAGGATTCAGTCACGATATTTCTGGTATTCAAAATGCTCACTGCAAGTGTAAGTGAGCTCTGGAAAAACGGCAGTACACAATTAGCTTTCAAGTTGAGAGGCTACTCTGGTGAAGCTTGTGAAATTGATAACCTGGTGGCATTAAGCCATATTAAGTGTTGTCATGCAATTAGAAGTTTGCTATTTGCAATGGAGCAATCTATGGTCTACTGTAAACAACAATATAATATTTGTATGAATTAACATCTAACTAAATGCAATTGCCTTGTAAACCTTAAAACCACAACAAGAGAATCTTGCATTCGCCATCCCCCCTGGTTGGTTTTGGTGTGGTTTTCAATGTAGGTTTCTGTCTTCGGTACACTGCACTCAAATGGTTTAGATCAGTAGTTCTCAAACATTATGGGTGAAGTACCACATTTTCAAAACAGATTATTAATTCCAAAGCTACCATCTAAGATATAGTGCGATCTAATAACTGGGGCTTGGTTAACTCAGTTGTCTTGTTTGGTATACAGTGTGATGCCAACAGTGTGGGTTCAATCCCACACTGGCTGAGATTACCACAAAGGCTGTCCTTCTCAACCTCTCTCCTCGCCTAGTTATGGTGGCCCTCCAGTTAAACTATCACTAGTCATCTCTCTCTAATGAGAGAGCAGCCCTTAATTCTGGTAGGAATATGATGATTTTACTTCTACCTTGCATAATAGCCAATACAAAAACACTGTATACAAACAGTGTTTTAGCTTTTAACAAAATAGGTATTTTGTCACCCATATCGGTGAGATAGGTGCACCTGTTCCTCAAAGACTAACTGTTCGTGGAGAAAGCATGAGTAGAATTGTATGCAGGAAATAAACACCAGGAGACCTTGGAGCAAGAGCAGAGTAGTGAATACCTCCAGTCCCGGGTCATCACTCACTCGTAAGGCTGTCCCTGACCTTGTAAAGAAGACTTCCATTTATCTGTGATCTCAAGGTTGAGATCTGATGTAAATGTTTAAGCAGCAGATTTGTTCAAATTTCTCTCTGTCTTGTTACTTACTTTGGTAACAAATAATTGTTCCATGTTAAAGAAAATCCCCCTTTACTTTCTAATACCCAAAGTTTTAGAAAAAGGGCCAAGAGTGAGTGTAATAACTAACTGCTATTAAGGGCTTGATTATAGTCTTTATGGAGCTGTTTGCTTTCAAACTGGTTTTATTCTTGAAAACATGGCACTTATTTAATTAGGATATTTATTTCTTCTCATCTGTTGTGAGGCCAATGCTACCCATTCCTATTAAAAGTATTTTTTAACTTAAAAGGAATAAGCCATGCAACAGTTATGTTCAGGAAAAGATAGGATTTTATGTTCTGAAACTTTCAATCACAGCCAAGGCCATCAAATACGCCAGTGGTTTAATTTCTTGTGCATATATATATTGATGTTATTAGCAAAGGTCAAAATGTGTGGACCTTTAAGATTGAGTTTTTATGTTGTCCAAAGCAGATGCACCATTTTTAAAACATCATACACTTCCTCAAGCGTTTTATGTTGAGCAGCCTTTATCCATGGACTTTGTAACTGTGGGATTGGTTCACTGCTGGTGCAGCTGTATTTATCTTTTTAAAGTTTGGATGAGTTTTAGAATTAGTTCTTGATCCGAAATTAAAACATTCTTTTCTTACTTTATTTAGGACTTCAGAGCAGGGGTAGGCCTTTTGGTCCCTCCAGCCTAATCCATGATTCAGTATGATTATGGCTGATCTGGTTGTGGTTTTAACTGCACTTTTGATCAGGTACAGTTCATTGACTGTCAAGAATGCAGCAGATCTCTACCACCTGCCAATATCACACATCAGCCAGTCACTACTGAGTGTGTACAAATGACCAGAGGCCACTCTACCTCTAATATTTTCCCCTTGTGTTTGTCCTCAAAATAAATCTGCATCCTACCACTTTCAACCAGCGATTTATGAATGGGGTATGGCTCCATGGATAGCCCTCCATTGTTTGGGCCTGTTGTCTATTCTTCATCAACCTTCCTGGTTAGTATCAGCAGCTTATTCCATGGAGGAATTCACATTTAAATCAAAACCTCTCCATACCAACCATACAACAAGAAGCTGAATTAATACATCATCTTTATCATAGTCAAACATTTTGTGGGGGGTGGGGAGGGAATATACTTGGCACATACTGAATAGGAGACATTAAGGAAAATGGCCAAAAACTTTGTGAAGGATTGATTTTACATCTTGAAGAGTGAGGTTTGTGGGGGGAGTTTCAGAGCTCAGGGCTAAGCAGCTGAATAGTGGGGAGAAAGAAGTCCTTTTGTATGAGCAGGGGATGACTGTTGTGGTTGATTTTCATCCGAGACTAAGGGCCATTGAGGCCAAAGGTGACCCCCTCCCCACACACACACACACATCACCAACCCCCCCCACCCCTCCCCAAAATTATGGTGCTTGCTGAATGAACCAGCTCATCGTAAAACAAGGACTACACTCCATATGGCCTGGTTCTTTACCAGATGGTGCTTTTATTCTCTGGGCCATGGGGAGCTCTAATGGAGTTTATGGTAAACAATGTTGACACAAACTATGATATTATTTTGCTGGAGGCAAAATACTGATGAATCGTGTCACTGAAACCACTCATTTCCACAGATACAAATCATCCTTTTTATTTCCGGTCACATTGGTACTTGTGACTGACCAAGCTGTCTTAAATTCAAACACAATTCAGAATGTAAAATCATTGCGATTGGATCAATTGCTTAAAGCACAAAATTCATCAATTGAGTTGTTCTTTAAAAACAAACAGCACAGGCATGATGGGTCGATTGGCCACCCACTCTGCTTTAAGATTCCGTCCCTTTTGTGTTTAATCCATGGTTTAAATTAGCTCACTGCCATTTTCTCTTTCTCAGTTGTCTAGAATAAAGCCAGCATATAATATAAAGTAAATACAGTGTCTTCTGGATCATGCATGAACTTTGTTCAGTGGCTTGCCTCTGTATTTTTCATCCATGACCCAGATTGGATTTTGGCTTTGTCCAGATTGGTGTATGCCAGCTGCTGACTCAAGCTGGAAAACCCAATATGTAAACATGTACAGTTTTTAGCAGTTCCAAAGCTGCTGGGGACAATGTTTTGATGTCAACAATAACGATAATATAAGAGATAATTATAGCACTGAGAAGCCATTTGCGGCACTAGACATCTAATAGCTGAATCCGAATGCTTATTATACAGAATGTTTACATACACAGTACGCTCATAATAAACGAGGTAACACAAGGAGACCAGAAACCCGGATGTGAATCCCAAGTTTGAGCTGACGTTTTCACCGGGCATTTGTCCAGCTGGTGGTCTGCCAATCCAAGCCAAATTTACTTGGCACTCCACTGAAGGAAAGGCAGGCTCCTGAAGCGATGGAGACGGAAGGAACTTGGCAGGAGTTGCAGCGCTGGTCACACTTCAGTAATCCCTACTGGTTGGCTGGAAATACAACACTGGTAAAGGCACTGCAACTCTCCACAGTTGCCTGCGTGAGACTTAAGATTTGTGAGTGATCCGGGACTGCCTGAACAAGATTTTTTTTTTAAAAAAGGCACTGAACAAATGATTGATGTTGAAGGAAATGTCTTGTATCCTGTAGAAGAATCACATGATTGACTCACACATACTAGTTGGAACATAAAAT